CTATTACAACTCATATATGGAGGCAGCTCATATATGGGGGAAGGGATAGCTCAGTGGTTTGAGCACTGGCCTGCTAAACCCAAGGGTCTGAGTTCAATGCTTGAGGAGGCCATATAGGGATCTGGGACAAAAATTGGGGATTGGTCCTGCTTTGAGCAGGGGGTTGGACTAGATGACCTGAGGTCCCTAGATGACCTGAGGTTCCAACCCTGATGTTCTATGATAAATGAGACACATGATAAAATATGGATGTTGCAAGGAAATACTTTGCTAACACTAACTGTCTTGAAAAATTAAGTGAAAGATTTTAAACCATGCTTTGAAGAGAAAAATATGGAGTTTTAAAATCTCATTTTTTTATACACACACCGACACCCACCCCGACCCCCTCCCCTCCGTCTGCATGTGCAAATGCAGGGGTTTTTGCTCTGTGCACTTTGACAAAGTGTTGGTTTGCACCCATTTCACCCACAGTTGAAAATCTGGCCCCTCACATTGCTTGAAGAGTTGTGTTTATGTAAAAGATACATATAACTTTATGAAGGTTTCAGGGATTTTAAAGTATTTAAATACTGTTACACTGTACTGGTAACAGATGTTCAATTATATCTTAAATTTTTAGTTTTACTGAAAAAACAATAGATCATTTGATATTTTCTGTAAAATAGAACTGAAATGATGCCCAAGTATACAGTGCTTCCAGAAAATTTATTTGAGCCTTTCAGCTACTGCATTAAAATCAGTACTTCTAAAATTAGCGTGAGAGCGTTCTAAGAGTCTAATAGGATTTCTTGTTTGCCAAAAAATAGTGCTTTCAGAAGCACAATCTTTTGTGTAATCTCTCTCTCTCTCTCACACACACAACAAGACAGATGGCATCATTAATTGCCTCTATATCTAATTAAGTTTAAAAAACTGTGCTTAGATAATGCTAAAGTTGCGGTACAAGCTGACAAATGGAGGAAATTTTAAGGTAGAATCACTGGGAGGGAAAACAAGACAGAACAGACAGGAATAATGAACACACAGAATTAATTAATTTTAACTTTCCTGGCTTCTGTCAGCATGTGCCACAACCTTAATATGATCTCGAAAGTGTTTCTGTATTTGGATGGAATCCTGGCTCCATTGATGTCAATCACAAAACTCCTGCGGACTTCAGTGGAGCCAGGATTTCACCCTTTAGCCATTTTATTATTTGTTTGTTTTTAAACTTTTCATGGAAGTTATCCAGTGGGGCTAATTTCCAGGACAATCCAAATCACACCACTGGAGCACATACATATTGTGGGTCACGTATATACAGTGGTCCCCATTTCAAAGTTAACATCACCGCAGTTTCCTCTGCACTTACAATAGAACATGATTGTCATAACAGTGGTGTCATTACAGAGAGTTCACTTTTGCCAACAGATACCATACTTCTGGGCTATAAATGAAACCCCTGTATTTAGGCCTTTTCCCCTCCTCTTTTCACAAAGCACATAGGCTGGGATTTTCAAAGCAGCCTATGGGAGGTAGGTGCACTAATTCCATTGAATGGATTTGGGCATGTCATTGTCATAAGGTCCTTTGAAAACCCCAACCATGCTGCATAGTTTACTCTATTAAATACATATGTTAATATATGCAGTTGGATCTTATAAATATAGTAGAGTCTTAATTATCTGAGCCCCTTGGAACACAACAACTTTGCATAGACAATTAGGAGTTTCTGCAATCAGGAGTGAATAGGAAAGGAGCCAGCAGAACGGGAGAGGCTGTCAATTTGTGATGTAAACAGGTTTGGGTTCTGGGGCTTTAGTATGACTGGGACCCTGTGTTAGTATTTTGATATATGTCCTGATTTTGAACATGTGTATTTGTACCTGTCATAAATATAAAGGGAAGGGTAAACACCTTTAAATCCCTCCTGGCCAGAGGAAAAACCCTTTCACCTGTAAAGGATTAAGAAGCTAAGATAACCTTGCTGGCACCTGACCAAAATGACCAATGAGAGACAAGATACTTTCAAAGCTGGGAGTGGGAACAAAGGGTCTCTCTCTGTGTGATTTTTTTGCCGGGACCAGAGCAGGAATGCAGGTCAGAACTCCTGTAGAGTTAGTAAGCAATCGAGTTAGATATACGTTAGATTCTGTTTTGTTTAAATGGCTGATAAAATAAGTTGTGCTGAATGGAATGTATATTCCTGTTTTTGTGTCTTTTTGTAACTTAAGGTTTTGCCTAGAGGGATTCTCTATGTTTTGAATCTGATTACCCTGTAAGGTATTTACCATCCTGATTTTACAGAGGTGATTCTTTTACTTTTTCTTTAATTAAAATTCGCTTTTAAGGACCTGATTGTTTTTTTTTTCCTTGTTCTTAAGATCCAAGGGTTTGGGTCTGTGTTCACCTATGCAAATTGGTGAGGATTTTTTAATCAAGCCTTCCCCAGGAAAGGGGGTGTTGTGCTTGGGGGGATATTTTGGGGGGGAGACGTTTCCAAGTGGGCACTTCCCCTGTTCTTTGTGTAACACTTTGGTGGTGGTAGCTTTTAACCTAAGCTGGTAAGAATAAACTTAGGGGGTCTTTCATGCAGGTCCCCACATCTGTACCCTAGAGTTCAGAGTGGGGAAGGAACCTTGACAGTACCCAATAACTGTATAGCAGTGCTCACAACAACCTGCAAAGACTCCACCTTTTTAAGTTTTATCATTAGTTTTCGGTATCTAAACCTGGCTTTCATTGTTGGCCAATTGTGTAAATTGCAAAATCCCTTAATCTCAATGCCCCTTTTAATTTAATAACATGATTTCCTTTCTTTTAAAGAAGAAAATATTCAGAGTAGTTGGAATTTGATAATTAGGATTTTTTTGGTGGAAGATCTCATAATGACAGAGAAATCTGACCGTTTTAAACAAAACAAATGCAAGATTACTCAAGATCAGCAAAACACACGACAAGATCGACATTTTGTCCCACAATTTTGTCAAAGCTGATCAGCCTTGTTCATGCCAGAAGGAAAAGGAAATAAATATGGAACAAGAGTTAGCAATTTTCAGCATGTTTCAAGCTAATAAAATTAGATGGGTCGTTTGCATTATGAACCCTTCCAGAAAAGATACTAAAATAATGAAATCAAAAATTGTATCGTTTTCAGCACACACTCGAAATAATTCCTTTGTCACCTGCTGATGCAGTGCCCCACCCCAAAAATATGCTATAAAGAGGGTAACTCGCCTCTAATTGTAGCTGTGTGTACACTGCCTCTGTAAATCCATGCTCTTGACTGTGGGTTCCTTGGTGCTGCAAGCTTGAGACCATCTGGAAAGAAGCGACTACTAGAGCAGCACACCCCCTGAGGAATGTGGATGTTGAGTGGGAGGGTTTATAAGAAAGAGTGTGGTCCCAACTACTCTTCTTTCTCTCCGAGCTGCCTTAGGCAGCAGCGTGTTTTGGACCTGATACTCTGCCTGGTGGATTTATTACATCACTTTTCATCTTGTCAGAAGTCTGATCCAGCTGACAATGAGGTTTTGCTGATTGACTTGCAGACTCAGGCAGGAGTAGATGGAGCTACTTGAGTAGTTCTGATTTTACCTCTTTAAAGACAAGCGATTGGTCATTCACAGTAAGGGCCCTCCCAGGCAGAGTTCCACAGGATTCTGTTTGGTCACCGCTCTCATCTACTTCATCGGCTTCTTTGTGGCTCCTGTAGGTTGCACGTTGCACCACAGCTCCAAAAACTACCCTGGGTTTCCGAGAACAGGTGCTTCTAGGTGTAATTCAAGGAGTTGCTCTTTCAATATAACCCAACCTTGCTTGGCCCTGGCTCTCTGAAAGACTACCTCTCACCCGACATACCGCTGCAACAGCGATCAGTCGATATCACTTCGTCTTACATGGTTTAAATCTGAATATCAGAAAGCTGGTGCCAGGGTATTTTCAGTGTAACACACTGTACCCTGAAACTCACTTTCACAGTTCATCAGACAGCGCATGAGTCTGTTGACCTTCAGGGCACGGTACAGAGCCAACTCTTCTTCTCAGATCTTTGCCTCAGAAGGCTGGATGGGGGAAAGTATATTGTCAGGGCCCCATCTATTCCACAATTCTGCAGCCACAGAATGACTCCTTTCTGCAGAATTGTGCAGAACCTTCAGGACCTAAACTCTTATTGAAGTAATTCAGCATATCAAGCATAATCCATAGAATTTTTAAGAGAAAAAACAGAGGTTCAGACTAGTCAACATTCTGCTAATACTAACACTTTCCCTTTAAAATTTTAATTGGGGGAGGAGGGCTAGATGGCTCAGAAATTGGCAATATTAAATATAGTGCATCAGACCACTATGTCACCATTTCAAATCAGGACCAGGCTGGTACAACACAGGAATCATCAGCCTCTGACAACTATCCAATCTGTGATCAGCTGTGCAAAATGAGTGGGGGATTTCAGAACAGTACAGAGTGGACAAATTCCACATCACAAAACCCATCCTTATAATTAGTACTACTGGAACCCTTGTAGTCAGTTTTGACAGAGACGCATGGATTGAAATGAACCAATGATTGAATTGGTTGAGTGACTGAAGGAGGTTCCTCTAGATGATGGTTTAGGCAGGTTAATGGAGGAGTGTAACACTTACACTTGCATTGCTTGTGTGGTACCTGATCTCTGGAGTTAAATCTCTACCACCATCTGTGTGGTAACTTTCATAACCACTAAATTTATGAAAAAGATATTTTGCACTTATACAGCAGTTTCTATCCGAAGAACTCAAAACACTTTCAAATATTACCGAACTAAGGCTCACGAAAGCTCCAGGTGGAAGGATTATGCCCATTTTACAGATGGAGAATTGGAAGCACAGAAATGTCAGAATTTGTCTGCAGGGGAAAAGTTGATTAGCTCAATGAATTTTTTAAATGTAATGCCTTTCACATGATCTGCTAGAGCATTGTGGGTATTTCAGATATTTCTGGGACACTATGTGGTAAAGTATTTCTGTCCAACTCACCTGCTGCTCCATTGTTTGCGGGTGGATGAAAGTTACAAGATCAACTGAGAAGTAGCCAAGCACCCCTCTAGATTTGCAGGCCTCTCCAATTTTTAAACATAATGAATTAAGAACTGCTGGATCAACTGAACACTGTGGAACAGTGGTGCCAGATGATTGCAAAGGACCATCTGCGTGGATCTGATCTCCGGATGAAACTATCTTTATGTCTCCCATTGGCTCTATCAACATATCCACTGTAAGGTTGGTGACATTTTCTGAGGGTGGAAAGGCTTCTATCACACCACCTGGTAAGAAAGGAATTTTTTGTTAGACTTGTAACAGAATTCAAACTCCAGCATTTTCAGAGTCACACAGAATTCAACCAGCCACATCTATTGCACTCAGACACTATGATGAGGACTGCTACAGAAATCCCTTAAATAAATAAAATGTAATAAGAACTGTGTAGCTAACCCCTCTGCATCTTTTAGAAAATGAAGTGTATGTACTCTAAACCACAACCCTACATAGCTGTTCATAGGGAGAGCATTAACAGGATTATTTGGCATTCTGTGTTAACTTACTGTTGTCTATTACATATTTGATTCAGCTATGATAAATGATGTTTTTCATACAATTCCTAAATGTGACAGTGGGTGCTCTTTTCCCAAAACCATTTTCAAGTGGGAATCCTGATCTACCCTTGACTCTTCTACAGATAATGAAATCCATGGAATGTATCAAATTTAATATAACTGCAGGGAACTTCACTCCAGAAACTTACTTAACATGTTTGATGGAAGAATGGCTTGGGGGTTATATGGTACTTGCAAATTCCTTCCCTCAGTAGGCAACTAGTGCTACATGCAACTCACTTTCTGGTCCAGGGGGATGGCAAAACCACACTCCCTCAGTTGTTTCCTGACCAATAACTCAGAGGACTGAGCTACGAATAGTTTTGGATTCCACAAGTCCACATGCTGACATTTCCTGCTGAGCTTCTTTGCCAACTGCAACATAAGCTCCAATGTAGTAACACAAAATTAAAATGGTTGGTCCTTATTCACACAGAATACTGTAGATGAGGTAGCGTCAATATTCAGGTTAAACTTGTGAGTAGGATATAAGAATGATAGAATAACTGCCTATATATAATTCTTAAATGGACAGTTAAATATAATGTGGAAATAAGAATTTTTAAACAAGCCCAAGATTAACAAGAAGATGGTGTTCAGTATGGTATAATTACCCATTATAATACTTAACAGGAACTTTGCAGTCTTATTTACCTTGACTAAGAAATGTTTGGAGAAATTTTTCCCATGTAGGAAATCGTTTCTCATTGACTGGCTGTGCGTGCTGTGCTAAAAGGCCCGGGAGCTCCTGGGAGATCTTCACCAAAGCTGGCTCCTGCAGAAACAAATTAAATAGAACCACAAGCAATTTTACTACAGAAATGAAAACTGCTTGTGGGGTGATTAAAAACCAGGCCTCCAACAGGCACCAAAAAAAAAAAAGTGGTTACTGTTTACTCACAGTCAGACAGGCTTTTTTAATTTTTCTCCTTACATTTATCCAAAATAGTCTTTTTTTCTGACAGGCTGATTTGTTTTCAGCATAGCATCTATTCTATTATCACTTTTACCAGTAACATGACCTTGTGGTTGTAAATGACATAAAAGCCTTGGGTCATGGCTTAGTGGATATCAACAGTCGATAACTTCTACAATATTTGTATTTTAAAACAGAGTGTGTTAAAATGGCTATGGTTTCCAATAATACTCTTCCTAACTCTTTTACTTTTATACTCAAGGCAAAACTCAGCATTTTAGTCATCATGAATTTGGGGGAGCCCATGCAAGGTTGGTAGCATTACATACAAAGTGTATACACGATGGGAGGTATCCTTGTAAATCTCTACAATTTGTGAGACAAGCAAACTAGAGGATTGTTTGATGGCTCTCTACCTTTGGTTGGAATTTGATTTTTCATATTACAGGATATAAAACAGCTTCAGTCCCTGCCAGTATTATCACAAAAACCATCAAACGTATCTTGGCAAAAAATAACTCCATTGTCTTTGCTGTTCAAGAGGCCCAGAGGTGAACAAGTATGTAAAGTGCGAGGACCCTGACTCTAAAGCCCTGAGCCCCTCTTTCTTGCTACTTCATAAGCATTTTCATGCTTCCCCTGGGTCTCTTTCTCATTTCAGAAGGACGTAAAACAGAAGGAAATGTCCCACGCGCCAGAAGAGGACCACTTATCCACCGATCCTGGCAACATTCTGAGCCCTGATCTTGTTTTGGGCTCGGAAGGTGCTCAATATAACTTTGTGATTAAAACTGTATAAATATGAACAAAACCGCTACTCTGCATGAGCAATCAATGGATCCTCTTACTTCCATAATGTGCAATGTGACATAAAAGGTTTTTTTAATTCATATTTATTCTGATTAATTTTGGATTTATCTACAAAAAGTAGCAGAGGAAGTATGGCCCAGTGGCTAAGGGCAACAGCCTGGGATAGGGGACATCTGGTTTCCATGCTCTGCCAGAGACTTCCTGTGTGACTATAGGCAAGTCACTTAGTTTCTCTGTGCCCCCGGTCCTCATCTGTACAATGGGAATAATAGCACTGCTCTATACCACAGGGGTGTAGTGAGGGTAAATACATTAAAAACGGTGAGGTGCTCAGATGTTACACAATGGGGGTGATATAAGGACCTAAGTGGTATATATTTTTAAGTGTCTATTGCTGGCTCTAGGTGCCACTGACAAACCTTTTAAAAACACTTATCGTCAATAAATAAATAAATTTAGCAGCACAACATTTCACTCAGAGCCAAAACCATCCCAGATGATTAGCCTGAAATAACACAATACCATCGACCTCTGCCCAAGTTACCACCTCTCAACCTGTTCCCTGCTCTTCCAAAGTCTGAGCATAACACATGGGTTTTGCAGTGTGCCCTGAAGGTTAATAGAGATGGGCTATTTTGGGCCAGTGAAACCAACTGCATCATTTGGCACATGAGGTTTCATTTATCAGCTTGTCCTGCCTTTGCAGTATGCAGTCCGGGATCCACATCAGACAAAGTTCTGGTGGTCTAGGTCTTGTGTGAGAAGAACACAACACAAGAGTAAGTTTTTGGAAAGACATTGCTTACTGCTGGCCCTTAGCCTAACCCTGAGCCACGTTCTGTCATCCACGCTGACTAGTACCTTACTCCTTGAGTTGTCCCCCTGATGATTTTTTATTTTATATTTTTCCATCCGTGTCTGGTTTGGAAGCTGGGACTTTTTCGAATGTTGGTCTTGCTACTGTCATCAATGCTTTTGTCACCTCTAGAATTGTCTGCTCTGCAGTGCTCTCTGCATACTTCTGCACCTTAAATCCATCTGGAAACTGAAGCTTGTATACAATGCAGCAGCCTGCTTGTTGAGTGGTTTCTTGCTGTGAGAATATTGCATTAACTGTGGGATTTGCACTGGCTGCCTATTGACAGCTGAGCAGAGTACAAGGTGTTTGTTTTTTACCAGTTCAGGCATGGGACATACCTGTCCGAGAGAATGGCTCTTTCCCTGTACAATACACTTGAACTTATGATCAGTATAGGGGTCTGAGCTGGAGACCCCTAAGTTTAAGCAGGAAGAAGCTGCTGGCAGAGTACTGTCCATGTGTGGCCTCATGACTTTAGAATTTGTCTGCCCATACTGACTTCACTGGAGTCACTCTGAATTTACACCTAAATGAGGTAAGAATATGGTTCCCACAAGTTTGCAGTGACAGCTCAAATTGTACAATCGCCATTCTTCCTATAAGGTGAAAAGATACCACAGTGTGACTTTAATTCTTAAAAGTAATGCCCCACAGCAATACTGCCAACAAGAAAGAACTCTTTTTGGTTTTCAACTTAAGTTTCTCATACCAGCCTATAATACAAACTGGAGTTCCTAAGAGCATCTACTCTAGGGTCGAAAATACCAATGGTAACTGCAGCTGATTAGGTCTCCCTCTGAGCAGACAACCACAGGATACTGAGACACTAACGGTGTGATTTATTCCTATTCCAAACTGTGAGGTCAAGGATCAGAACTGTAGCCGAACAGTGACATAAAGCAAACTCATCTAAGCAGGAACTATACCAGGGAATTCAAGATTGATTAAAACATCAGAACAGTGAGCAAAGACCAGTTGGGTTCATCAGGGCTTGTGTTTTGCCTTTAAATATAACTATCCCAAGAGACTGTGAGAGCTAACGGTTACATAAGAATAGCCATACTGGGTCAGACTAATGGTCCATCTAGCCCCGCATCCTGTCTTCTGACAGTGGCTGGTGCCAGACACTTCAGACAGAATGAACAGAACAGGGCAATTTATTGAGTGATCCATTTCCTGTCATCCAGTCCCAGCTTCTTGCAGTCAGGGATTTTAGGATACCCAAAGTATGGGGTTGTGTCTCTGACTACATGGCTAACAGCCATTCATGGACCTATCCTCCAGAACTTATCTAATTCTTTTTCGAACCTACTTATACTTTTGGCCTTCACAACATCCCCTGGCAATGAGTTCCACAGGTTGACTGTGCATTGTATGAAGAAGTACTTTCTTTGGTTTGTTTTAAACCTGCTGCCTCTTAATTTCATTGGGTCACCCTGGTTCGTGTGTTATGTGAAGGGGTAAACAACACTTCCCTAGTCACTTTCTCCACCCCAGGAATGATTTTATAGACCTCTGTCCTATCCCCCCTTAGTCGTCTCTTTCCTAAACTGAACAGTCAGTCTTTTAAATCTCTCCTCATATGGAAGTTGTTCTATTACCCTAACCATTCTTGTCGCCTGTTACAAATAAGTCACTAAGCTCTTCTCCTCAACCACTCTGCACATTCGAGCTGATACTCAACAAGTCATCGCTTGCTACAACTGATCTTACTAACTACTGCCCAGCGGCCAGTCTCCAGTTCCTGAACCAGTTGATTCAGAAGCTGGTAAAATGCCAACTCTGGCAATACTTAATCTCCACTAATATTCTTAATCCCTGCTAGCTGGGGTTTAGACCATGACACAGCATAATATGGTGCTAACGAATGGTCTCCCCGTAGCCATGGAAGATGATCAATCATCCTTTTTCACACTATGCCACCCTTTGGCAAAATTTGATGCTGCACTCTAATGAGATATTGTTCACTTTCCTAGAGAACTTGTAGGGACCAATAAATGGCTTTGGTCTTTCTTAGCCAACCACACCCAGAAAGTAGTGATGAGAATCTGCCCCTTCATCTCCAGATCTTTCACCTGCTAAGTCCCACATCTTGTTCTTTACATGACACCTCTGAAGGACATTGTGAGACACCATGGGCTCAGATGCCAGCCTTATGCAGACCACACAGAGTTGTACATCTTCACACGTAGCCTAGGAAATACTGTCTCCCAGCTATCACAAGGGCGAAGGAAAATCAACTCATAGGGAGAAGGCGGTGGCTCTAAAATAAACTATCACATTTTTCAAATTTTCTCAGTAGAACTGGGATCAAACCCACCTGAAGTTCCCTTAATAATCTAGTTCCTAGCTGAAGTGTCTCCATCACTGTGTGCCCCTAGAGAGGTAATACTGCCAACTACACGGAGTATAGCAGAGAGGAGAGAATTCATTAAAATAAAATTCAACCCCCCTCAAACCAGTAGTTCAGACATTTACTCATGAAGCCAGACCTTTTAAAAGAGTCTCTGATCTTCATGACAATTTTATTTAAGTTGGACAGTAGCTCAGCAGAACTTACTCTTATGATCTGAATTGTGGCCCCAGACTGATGCAGAATGATAGGCTTACTGAATTTAACCTCTCCGCTCATGTTTCTCTGTGCCAGCAAAAAAGGGTCAGCACCGATATTTTTTTGTTGCACTTTACATGACAAGCCCAGGCACAAAGTCTGCTTACCTGCTCTTTGCCATAATGATGGATGAGCAAGAAAAATAATTATTTTTTCCTCTTCTATCAAAAAATATTCCTGGCCCTAGAGCAAACAGAAATTTGCAAGGCTGTGTGAAAATAATAGTAGCCACAAGAGATAATGTTAGGACAGGAGGTGGGGTGTCTGGAAGGAACAGAGAGCAGATCTAGTTGAGAAAGATCAGGCAACAAAGAAAGGAAGAGAAGAGAAGAGAAGAGAAGAGAGAAATAGGCCTAGAAATAGAGAGACCCAGGATAGAAAGAAGCTGTGGAGCGGAGTGCATGAGAAAGGCCTGGGGCTTATAGATGGTATCAGAGTGAAAGGAAGCTATGTGGGCCTTAGAAGCAAATAGAGCAAAGAAAGAAATCCCAGATAAGTAAAGAGGAATGGGAGAGATAAGGTAGGAGACGTAATGTCTTTTATTGTACCAACTTCTGTGCGTAGAAGGCACAAACTTTT